CATTCCAGCCCTGGCCATGAATCACTGGAACTGGGTTTTCTGAGTAATGTCGCTCCAGTCTCTATATTCTCATAGTATACTGAGCAAAAGAAATCAGGTCTTGTATAGGCTGCTTGAGCATTTGAAGTCAGCTGTTGGAAAGACGGTACCAAAGTTTAGACCATTAAAAAGCAATATTTTAAAAATTCTGTCATGTAGAAGGATTAACATTCCAAAAATGACGTTTTTTTTTTTTCTGTCTTTGTGGATAAATATAGGCAGCTAATTTTTTCAGTAGTTGGCAAAGAGAAAACATTCCCTTCCTCTGGTTTCTGCTCAAAACTAGCCTTTTCTCCCCCCTTTTCTTTCTGAAATATTTTTTTATGTGAAGGATGCTCTAAAAAAGCAGAAACAGTATAAAAAAGGAAGGATTGAATATCGTTTTACAAGGAGAGAAAGAATCTCTAAAAAAATATTTATTCCGCACTTGGCAACCTTTTGCTCGCCTGCATGTGACTGGCACAGTGCCATCCTTGGCAGAGGCTGGTGCCTCAGCTTGCCAGAAGTCTTCCTCTTCTGGCTGCATTTTCACTCCCTGTGACCGATTGTTTATTCACCTGATTTTTCTGTTTCAGCATTGCTGAAGTCATGGCGTCTTAAAGATAAGAACACTTTGTCTGTCCAAACTGTACAAGAGCCACGCTGTCAATGCAGAGTGTTTGCAGCGAGGTTTAGCTTTGCGTGTGGTTCTAATAGCAGGGAGGTATTAATGTCACACAAACTTACTACCACCTCCTTAGTGTGAGGCTGTCCAAAAAGGAACTGCCGTAAATACAGAGAGATGATTTGTTTCTTGCTTTTTTTGGAGAGTTGTGTTTGAGGATTTCCCAACCTTACGTTGTGTTTGCAATTTTGTTTTAGCATCTTTGGGATTTTTATTGAGAAGAATGAGTTTGAGTCAGATTCTCTCAGAGCTCCTCCTGTTTGCAAGATCTTTGCATTTAGTTTTAAAGTATCTGTATGTCATGTTTGAATCTTACTTGCTTAGTAAGTGAGCATCTTGGAACAAAATGATTTGCCTGGAATTAAATATTTTGCTTTTTTTGTGAGCCATCATTGTATCTTAATAGTATTTGGAAAAATCTCCTGAATTTTTTTGACAAGGAAAGCCTCTTGTTTGAAGAAATCAGAGAGGTGAAGCATGGATGGTCAAAGAAACTACTGTTGTTGGTTTTGTTCCAGTAAATTTGATTTGTGGCTACTGGTACTCTTGTAGTGTCCTTTGCTGGAGATCTGCTGATTATTCAGTACTTTCACTCCCTAAATGTAAATAGACACTCTGATCTATTCAAGCCTCCATCATCTCTGTAATGAAGCCATGAAGCTGCTTAAGGGTCTGCCCTTCTCCAGGTCTTGCTTTGACTGCCTTCTTCCATGGCTGCCCTTCAAGGTCTCTGAAATTTTCCATTATCTTGGTAGCTCCACATGATGACAATTAAACATTTTTTGCCCTTGTGCTTGTCAGCAAGGATTTGTTCGGGGGTTTGGGGTTTTATTGTGTACAGTCATCAGCCTTCACGATCCAAGGCACTGTTGTACCTGGCTGATAAATTCTGTCCCCAAATGTAAGCCCACTATTTGCTTGTCTTTGTCTCTCTAATGTTCTTGCGAACTGAAGTCAACAAGCTATTGAGCATATTTCAGGGTATATTTTTTTTTTTTTGAAAAAGCATTTTGAAACCTGCGTTTTACATGTTTTGATCCAAACCTGGCAGCCCAATTTGGGAGGGCAGGGAGGACGATAGGCGGGGCTGGATTGTAAGGCCAGCCAGTGTTCTTTAGTAGGATTTTTATCCTAGGGATATCTGAGGGAACTGGCATGTAAGGCAGATAAGACTTTTTGTTGTTTGTGATGCATCTTACACACAAAAGTTGTTATTCTGTCTCTTGAAATAAACAGGATACCCGTATTGTCTCCAGGCTGAAAACTGTGCCAGCGTTAGCAAGAACAGGCCAAAAATAGGACTGAGAGAAAAGCAAGGTTGCTGAGCTTTTAAAAAGTTACCTTTAAAAAGTTTTCAAGAGTTCTTGTTAAAATGGTTGTGATTAAAATATTACTATGGTTTTGAAAACCTGCTTCACTGATTGCCTCTTTCATGTGAATTTGTGAATCCTTCTGTGCTTTAATTTTTATTGCTGTAGACAGGAGTCAGCAGATTTACCAGGAGATGCAGGGAATCTTATTTATACAGCAGACGGTTCATGAATGGCAGAGGCATTAAGGGAATACAAAAGTCTTTCCCAAGAACAAAATAAACTCAATCTTTTTCTACTACATTTATCTGAATACTTAACGTAGCAGCATTTGTTTTTTAGCAGATTGTCTAGATGAAAACAAAAAACCCATGTAGTTACATACATCTAGTAATGAACTTTGTGGAGGCATGGGGGATGTGTGTGTGCTTTTTCTTAGTAGGGCTTTGAACTGGAAATGTAGCTACCACGTGAAATCTGAGTTCTGGCACCCACTCAGAACAGCAGTCCATCTGCTAGCAAGACACGCTGATTTTTTTTATTTTTTTAATCCCTTAGTGGTTGCAAATGCAAGTAGTGATTTATACCTTAAGGTGAGAGGCAATTTGTGATGCCTTACTAAGGGGGCATCTGGGCAGACTACTCTGTTTACGCTGGTGAAGGTTATGTGGAAAAAGAATACACACCTGCGTGCTTGTTTGGTTTTGTGTAAGGGTTGGGGAGTATGTGTTTTTTCCTTTTCAAGGAAAAAGAAGAAAATCCAGCATCTTCATGCAGTGCATTATTTAGCAGTGATTTCCTC